AATTTTTTAGAATTTTTTTTGGGAAATTTTTGCAAAAAAAAAAAATAATAGAAACAAAAAAAAAATGAAAACTCCAAACATTTCCGTTTCATGTTCCCCGAAAAAATTTAAATACCAAAACACCTCAGAATTTCCACTCTAAAATAATTAACAAATTATTAAATTGAATTAACAAAAATAATTGCCCACAATTTTCCCAACACGACACGATGTTCTTGTTCTTGTTGTTTTTCTTCTTCCTCTTCTTGACAATTTAACGGCCGGACAACCATTCCCATTATATAATTTCATTTTAATGATCTCATAATTATGCTCCAGCCAATTCAGCCATCGTTTTTTCCATCATTCCCAAATACATTTTTCAGAGCACGTACCTTATACCTTCTCTGTTACGGAGATACTCCCACATTCCACGAACATTGTTCTTATCCAATCAACGTTAGGTGAATTGTTTGGCCAGCATATTTTGTTATTCTACGGGCATGTGAGTTCAAATCCCGATGGCGACAAATGGCGATAGTGGGATAAGAAAAGAAATTAATAAAAACTATTTTTTTTTGCTTCAAATTTAAAATTCAAAACATTTTTTTTGCAAAAAAATAAACAAATGAGCGGAAGAATATGTTCTTTTCAAATGCAAAATATTTTGTGATAAAAATTTGAAAAAAAAAAATTTTGATTAAAAAAATGCTATGCCCAATATTATATTAAAAAAAAAATAAACTCCATAAAATTTTCTACAAAAAAATTACGTTCCACAATTTTTTCTGCAAAAAACATACATTCCACAAAATTTTTAAAAAAATTATCATTCCACAGATATTTTTTTTATCAGATTCCACAGAACATTCCTTAAAAAAACGTTCCACAAATTTTTCTATAAAAAAACTTACATTCCACAAATTTTTGTAGAAAAAAAATGCTCATTCCACAAAGATTTTTCATTAGGTTCCACAGAATTGTCCATAAAAAATTAAATACAAATAGATTTTTTTCTCAAAAAATACGTTCCACAAGTTTTTCAACAAAAAATATTTTAATTAAATTAGGTTTCACAATTTTTTTTAACAAAACATTATTCTTTTCAACAAAATTTTTCAAAAAGAATTTACGTTGCACAAATTTTTCTACAAAAAAACTTACATTCCACAAAATTTTTGAAGAAAAAAATTCTCATTCCAAAGAGATTTGTCTTCAGGTTCCACAACATTTTAAATGAACAATTTCAATACAAATAGTTTTTCTAAAAAACATACGTTCCACAAGTTTTTCTACGAAAATCTCTTTTTATTAAAAAAATTAAGAAGAATTAGGTTGAAAAAAAATTAGGTTCCATAAAAATTTCTACAACAAAATTTACGTTCTACAAATGTTTCAACAAAAAAAAAAACTTACGTTCCACAACTTTTTGTAGAAAAAACTAATCATTCCACAGGGATTTTTCATCAGGTTCCACAGAATTTCCCTTAAAAAATTAAATATAATAAATTTTAAATAAATAAAAAATACGTTCAACAAAATTTTTTCTACAAAATTTTCTTTTTATTAAATTATTGGAAAAGATTAGGTTAGAATAACTTAGATTCCATAACATTTTCACAAAAAATTACGTTCCACAAATTTTTCTACAAAAAAACTTATGGTCCACAAATTTTTGCATAGAATTTTAAGTAAAAAAATGCGTTCCACAATTTTTTTTCTACAAAATTTTCTTTTCATTAATTATTGGAAAAATTTAGGTTGGAAAAAAAATTAAGTTCCAAAAATTTTTCTGAAAAAAATACGTTCCACAAATTTTTCTACAAAAAAATATGGTCCACAAAATTTTTGCAGGGAAAAATATAATAGGCTTTAAATACAAAGAAAAAATGCGTTTCAAATATTTTTCTACAATTTGTTTTAAATTATTTGAAGAAATTTGGTTGAAAAAAATAAGGTTCCATAAAATTTTCAAAAAAAATACATTCCACAATTTTTTTTTCTACAAAAAAAAATACTCATTCACAGGGATTTTTCATCTGATTCCACAGAATTTTCCTTAAAAACTAAATATAATAAATTTTAAGTAAAAAAAATACGTCCCACAAAATGTTTTCTACAAAATTTTCTTTTTATTAAATTATTGGAATAAATAAGGTTGGAAAAAAATTAAGTTCCAAAAATTTTTTCTGAAAAAAATACGTTCTACAATTTTTTCTGCAAAAAACTTACGTTCCACAAATTTTTGCAGGGAAAAATATAATAGACTTTAAATACCAAAAATGCTTTTCAAATCTTTTCTGCAATTATTTTTTAATTATTGGAAAAAATTTCGTTGAGAAAAATAAAGCTCTATTAAATTTTCTGAAAAAAATACATTCCACAAATTTTTTTACAAAAAAAAAAATACTCATTTCACAGGGATTTTTCATCAGGTTCCACAGAATTTCCCTTAAAAATTAAATATAATAAATTTTAAGTAAAAAATACGTTCCACAAAATTTTTTATTTTTATTAAATTATTGGAGACTTTAAATACAAAAAAATGCGTTTCAAATATTTTTCTACATTTTTTTTTAATTATTGGAAAAAATTTGGTTGAAAAAAATAAGGTTCCATAAAATTTTCGAAAAACAAATACATTCCACAAATGTTTAAACAAAAAACTTACGTTCCACAACTTTTTGTAGAGAAAATTCTAATTTCAGAGAGATTTTACATCCGGTTACACAGAGTTGTCCATAAAAAAATTAAATACAAATATATTTGTCCTGAAAATAAAAACAAACAAATACGTTTCACAAATTAAAAATAAAACTATTCTTTTGAACAAATTTTTTCAAAAATTTACGTTCCACAAATGTTTTAACAAAAAAACGTACGTTCCACAATTTTTTTTAGAGAAAAATCTCATTTCTCAGTTTTTATTCATTGGGTTCCACATAATTTTCGATTAAAATTTTAAATAATAAAATAAATAATAAAAAAATAAGTTCCACAAATTTTTCTACAAAAATTTCTTGTTATTAAATTATTGGAGAAAATTAGGTTCCATAAAATTTTATGCAAAAAAAACTTACGTTCCACAAATTTTTCTACAAAAAACGTACGTTTCACAAGTTTCAGAAGAAAAAAAATCTCATTCGACAAAGATTTTTCATCAGGTTCCACATAGTTTTACACATAAAATTTAAATACCAATAGATTTTTCTTGAAAGCAAACAAAATTGAATTACTTTTCACTGTTTTTTTTTTACAAAAAAATTTACTTTCTACAAATGTTTCAACAAAAAAAAATACGTTCCACAACTTTTTATAGAAAACAAATCATTACACAGAGATTTTTCATCAGGTTCCACAGAATTTTCCACAACATATAATATAGATTTTCCCTCAAAAAATACGTTCCACAAATGTTTCTACAAAAAAATTATTTTTATTAAATTACGTTCCACAAGTTTTTAACAAAACACTATTCGTTTCAACAACATTTTCCAAAACGGATTTAGGTATCATAATTTTTTCTACAAAAAATTACGTTCCACAACTGTTTTTTTATAAAAAAAAATAAAAGGGTTATGAGTTTTTCTCCAAAAAAAAGTTAGGTTCCACAAGGTTTTCTATTAAACACTCTTCTAAACAAAATTACGTTCCACATTTTTTTTTTTAATTTAAAGTTTTTTAAATTTTTTATTTTGATTTTTTTACTTATTTTAGAAAATTTTTCGAAAAAACAAATTAGGTTGCACATTTTTTTTTCAAAAAATCTCTATTCACCTGATGTTTTTTATTACGATGCATTAATTTTTCCATAGAAATGATTTCTGCAAAAAATGTTACGTTCCACAAGTTTATCTAAAAAATATAAATCCCATCATCCAAATATTCGTTCCACAATTTTTTGGAACAAAAAATTAATTCTTTTTTTAAAAAATGGTACGTTCCACAATTTTTCCCTACAAAAATGAACTTCAAAATTTTTTTCCTTACAAAAAAAATTTAGTTCTACAATTTTTTGTACAAAAAAACGAAATGCACACGGATTTTTATAACGTTCCACATGTTTTTCCAAAAAAGACAAATGCTTTCCTACAACTTATTACCTTCCACAAAGTTTTGAAAACTAATATTTTCTTTCTACATACATTTTTTCCCAAAAATGTTACATTCCACAAAGTCTTTAAGAGAATTTCTCATTCCACAGAGAATTTTCGTTAGATTCCACAAAGTTTTCTTAAAAAAAATGGAAATTCAAGAAATTGTCTCCTATAAATATACGTTCCACAAATTTTGTGTGCAAAAAATTATTCGTTCTACTAAATGTTCTCTGAAAAATGTTACTTTCCATAAATATTTAAATAAAAAATTCCCATTTCACAGATATCTTTCATTTCGATCCTCAAAAAAAAAAAAAAACTATAAAAAATAATATCTAAGATTTTTTTTCAAAATAATTTATGTTCCACAAATTTGTCTACAAACAAAAAAAAAAAGAATTTCCATAAATATTTGCAGAAAAATTATATTTTTTAATAAAAATTTTCGAAAAACAGTTACGTTCCACAACATGTATTTATAAATAAAAAAATATCAAAGTATCACCTGCAGCGAAATATTCAAATGGGAAAATATATATATCAGTTTCATTGTTAAATAAAAAAAGTTAAGTTCCAAGAAAATTATCCCATACCCATAGCCTCCCATATCTGCATGTACACATGTCCATTGTTGGTCATATAATTATTGCATAAAAATGGAAAAAAAAAATAAAATAAAAACAATAAATAAACCAATTTTGAATTAAATACACAAAACATGACCACCTACCCCACCCCTCTCACTATCCTTATAAAAATAAATTCAACAATGTTGCATTAATTGTGTAATATTAACAGTCAAAGGGTTCACTAACCTCTTTTGTCGGCGGAGCTCCACGAAGGGGACTTTCCCACTCCACCATGTGAGTAAATAGTTGACCCAGTTTACGCGCCAGCCGCCGCCGCCACCACCACCATTCACCAATGAAAGTCAAATACTACTCCAGTTTTCAATTGGCTGGTCAAGAAGAAGAAGAGAAGATGAAAAACAATAACAACTCAATTTCACGTGCTTCAGATCTTCAGATCATAAATTCAATTGCTGCAATCCCCGATGTATGAGGCAGATGATGTATGTGTGTCGATGTGTTGGTGTGTGTCGGTGTGGATCTGTGTGAATAAATTTTAAGTGTTTTCAATAAATTTTGAAACAAAACATTTCATTTTTTAAATAACAAAATTATTATGTAAATTAGTCGAGAGATAGAGAGAGATTTCGTAATTTTATAACAATTGATGAGGAGGTTCGAGCGGTGGCATAGGTGATAGTGGGTTGACTCTACATAAGGCATGGGTAAGGTGTTAGATTTTGTGGAACAAAATTTGTATCAAAAAAATCTTGATGGAAGGTAAGGTTTATAAAGGAAATTTTGGAACCTAATTCGGTTCACCAAAACAAATGGAAGGTAAGGTATTGTTTGTGGATTGTATTTTTTTTTTTTAATTTTTGAACTTCAATTTTTTTATAGAAAATATTGTGGAACTAAATGTTTTCAACAAAACATCTTGAAAAACCTATATTTTTCCCATTGGAAATTTTGTGGAACGTAATATTTTCTTGTAAAAATTCATGAAGATTGTAATATTTTTTTTAGAGAAACACTTGTAAAACTTAGTGTTTTTTTAGAAAATTTGTTGAAACCACATTTTGTTTGGGAAAAATGTGTGGAAAGTAATGTTTTCAGAAGATATCTTTGTGGAACTTAATATTTTGGAGCGGTTGAAAAACATTATTTTTTGTGGATCCTAATATCTTTCTACAGAAAATCAATTTATACCTTAGCATTTAAGTTGAAAAACTTGTGTCTGTCTCAAAAAAAATAATTGTGGAACGTAATTTTTTATCAAGAAAATTTTGTGAAACATGATATTTTTCGATGTCGATATTGAGAAACGTATTTTTTCTTCCGAAAAGTTACTGAAATAACTTATATATAAGGAAATTTTTGTGGAACGTAATCTTTGCCAAGGTTTATTTGTGGAACGTAATAATTTTTTAACATGAAACATATTTATTTTTCTTTGAAAAACTTGTGGAAAGTAAAAATGCCTCAGAAAAAAATTGTGGAACGTAATATTTTTTTTATAAAAATATTTGCGGATCGTAATAATTATATGAAATGAAATATTTTCTGCTGAAAATGTATTGAATTTGATTTTTTAAGAAAAATCTTGTGGAACGTATTATTTTCCCAAGACGTTTTTGTGGAACGTAATTTTTTTTGACAGAAAATCAAGCGAAAGAAATCACAACATTTCGAGATGACGCAATAATTTTCAAGAAAATTTTGTAGTTTTTGAAAAAAAGTTGTGGAACATATAATTTACCCATGAAATTTTTGTGGAACCTAATATACTTTGACACTAAATTTTCTATAAAAATCGTGTCGAACGTATTTTTTTATTTATTTAAGAATATTTTTTTTTGAGAAAAATATGTGGAACATTATATCTTTCCATGGATTTTTTTTTTTGTGGAACGTAATTTTTTGACAGATTTGTTATAGAAAATTGTAAGCAGTCTAGTTTTTCCTATGAAAGTCATGTGAAGCGTAATATTTTCTACAAAAAAAATTTGTGGAACGTAATATTTACCTAAGTCATTTTTGTGGAACCTAATTTTTTTTACAAAAAGTCAGTTTTTTTGACAAAAAGTTATAAACTGCCTAATTTTTTCGAAGAAAATTGTGGTAAAACTGTTTGTTTGAGAACATTTTTGTGGAACGTAATATTTACCCATGATATTTTCGTGGAAACTATTTTTTTCTCAAGAAAATTAAGTAAAATCTCGATGTCTGTAGCAAATCGTGTGTAATATTTTTCCATGAATTGTTTGTGGAACGTAAATTTTTGACAAATTTTTGTGATAGAAAATTTTGAGGAGCCTATTTTTTTAGAGAAAATCCTATGAAACGTAATATTGTCTGCAAAAATTTTGTGGAACCTATTTTTTACAGATTTTTGGAATATGAAAATATGAACAGTTTATAATCGTGGGAAAGTTAATAGTTTTTTGAGAAAATTTTGTGGAACGTATTATTTACCGATGTAAATTATTTGAAAAAAGATTTTTTCCCCAAAAATCAAGCGAAATCTAGAAATCAGTGGAAAATCTTTTCCTTTTCAGTAAATCTTTTTTCCAAAAAAAAAAAAAAAAAATGTGGAACGTAATTTTTTTCTATGCAGTTTTTGTGGAATGTAATTTTTTCCGGATTTTTTTTTTGACAAAAAATCATGATCAGTCTGATTTTTGCTAAGAAAATGGTCCGAAATGCATATTTTTTTAAGAAAATTTTGTGGAACGTAGTATAAACTCTTGAAAATTTTGTGGAAAAATTTTTTTTCCAAAAATCAAGTGAAATCTGGTTTTTGGTAGAAAAATAAATGAGCAGTCTATAATCGTGGGAAACTTATTATTCATTTGAGAACATTTTGTGGAACGTATCATTTACCGATGAAATTTGGAGAAAAGAATTTTTTCCCAAAAATCAAGCGAAATCTAGAAATCTTTGAAAAATCTTTTCTTTTTCAGTATTTTTTTTACAAAACCAATTTTTTGGAACTTGATATTTACCTATGTCTTTTTTGTGGAATGTAATTATTTTATAATTTTTTTGACAAAAAAAAAAAAAAAATTCTAACACAAACATCATGTGCAGATTTTTTGTGGAAAATCTTTTCTTTTTCAGTAAATCCTTTTTTCCAAAAAAAAAAAAAAAAAAAAAAAAATTGTGGAACGTAATTTGTACTTATCTAGTTTTTATGAAACGTAATTTTTTACAGATATTTTTTTTTTTTTGACAAAAAATCATGGACAGCATAATTTTTGCTAAGAAAATCGTCCGAAATGCATATTTTTTTAAGAAACTTTTGTGGAACGTAATATTTATCCATGAAAATTTTGTGGAAAAAATATTTATTTCTTTTTCAAAAATCAAGCGGAATCTGTTTTTTTGTAGAAAATCTTGGGTTGCTTTAATTTTTTTTTTTCAAAAAATTTTGTGGAACTTGATATTTTTTAAGAAATTTTTGTGGAACATATTTTTTTTGGAAAATAATTCTCTTTTTTTTTCAAAAAAAAGTTTTGTGGAACGTAATTTTTACCTATGCAGTTTTTATGTAACGGATTTTTTACAGTTTTTTTTGACAAAAAAATCATGGGCAGTCTGATTTTTGCTAAGAAAATGGTCCGAAATGCATATTTTTTTAAGAAAATTTTGTGGAACGTAATATTAACCCATGAAAATTTTTTGATTTTTTTTCTCCAAAAATCAAGAAAAATCTAGAAAATCTTTTCCTTTTCAGTAAATCTTTTTTTTTTTTAAAGTTGTGGAACGTAAGTTTTTCAGTTTTGTGGAACATAATTTTTGAAGGATTTTTTTTTTGACAAAAAATCATAAGCAGTCTATTTTTTTTAAGAAAATGGCCCGAAATGCATATTTTTTTAAAAAAATTTTGTGGAACGTAATATTAGCCCATGCAAATTTTGTGAAAAAAAATGTTTTTTTTTTTTCGAAATATCAAACGAAATCTGGTTTTCTGTAGAAAATCTTGGGGAACTTTACATTTTTTCAGAAAATTTTGTGGAACTTGGTATTTTTTAAGAAAATTTGTGGAACATATTTTTTTTTGGAAAAGAATTTATTCTTATCTTAGGAAATATTTTGAAAAATTATGTGAAGCAATTTTTTTTCCAAAAATCAAGCGAAATCTAGAAATCTGTGGAAAATCTTTTCTTTTGTTCTTTTTCAGTAAATTAAAAAAAAAAATGTGGAACATAATTTTTACCTATGCAGTTTTTGTGGAACGTAATTTGTTTAAAATTTTTTGACAAAAAATCATGGGCAGCCTATTTTTTGCTAAGAAAATGGTCCGAAATGCATATTTTTTAAGACAATTTTGTGGAAAATCTTTTCCTTTTCAGTAAATCTTTTTTTTATAGTTGTGGAACGTAAGTTTTTCCTATGTCATTTTTGTGGAACATAATTTTTTAAGGATTTTTTTTTTGACAAAAAATCATGAGCAATCTAATTTTTTAAAAAAAAATTTGTGGAACGTAATATTAGCCCATGAAAATTTTGTGAAAAAATGTTTTTTTTTCGAAATATCAAACAAAATCTGGTTTTCTGTAGAAAATCTTGGGGAACTTTAATTTTTTTCAGAAAATTTTGTGGAACTTGATATTTTTTTAGAAAAATTTTTGTGGAACATATTTTTTTGGAAAAGAATTTATATTTAATTTTTTTCAAAAAAATTTTTGTGGAACTTAATATTTTTTTAAGTATTTTTTGTGGAACATAACTTTTGAAGAAGCTGTATTTTTTTCTTCGGAAATATTTTAGAAAATCAATATTTTCCAACAAAAATTTTGAGATTTCGATTATTTTCTTAAAAACAAGTCTTGTGGATTGTATTCGTTTTTTGAGGTTTGTAGGGTATCCACTACCAATTACATTAATTTATTTACGACCAATAATGAAAGTGTTTTTTGTTTCAGCTCGAGATGATGTTGTTGTTTGTTTGCTTGTTTGTTGTTTAACACGTTCTGAAAGTGTTTGGGTGTTAACACGTCTTCACTTGTGCTGGCCACCAAGGTAGCCGGTTGTCTAGGCTTATTGTTTTACACACCCGCAACTCTTGGAGGTGGGGGTAGCGGCAGAGGCGACTGGGATCAAAAATGATGTCACAGAAAAATTATTATTAACCATTCATAAATTTGTAAAGTGAGTGAGTGAGTGAGTGATTGTACGCTCGTTGGATGACTACTGGGTGCGTGAGCATGTCACTTAATAATGGTCGCTCAAGTGTGAGGCAGTCGTCGAAAACAAAAAAACAATCAAAGCTGCCACTTGAGGAATCTTAGGAGAAAATATTCCAAAAATATAAAAACAATTGTTTCAATTGAAAAATTAAACATTTCATATTCGAATCGGCATCGAACAGGTTAAGCACAGCTTGGTCAGACAGAGGGCCGTATATCTTCTTTGAGGTCTATTTTTTCTCAAAATTTAAAGAAATGCAAATGTTGGTAAGTTTTGGAAAACTATTTTCAAAGGTTCGAAAAGATTGGAATTTTTCGGAATTTTTTCTTTGCAGCTGCGTTTTTTGTTCATTTTGTTGCTGGGCCAATCCTGGGCGGTTTTAGTTAATCCCCAAGAGGATTTGCACCCCGGCCAGCCGAATGCCTACTACCCATCAGCGGCTCAACACAATGGCTATCATTACCAGCGACCTCAGGGGAATCAAGGGAATACTTTGGGTTCTTCGGTAGCCAAAAAATCGTCATTTGGATTAAAACTGCAACCCTATGAATATAACAGGGCCACAGAGCAGCATGTACCACCTAGGTTCAGGCCCAGGCCCCAGAGTCCTGCACCAGTGAATCAGGTTCCAAATTCAGCAAATCACAATCCCTCAAATCAGAGGCAAGAACAGCAAAGCAGTTCTTATTCTCAACAAGGATCTTATCAGGATAATTCAAGGACTAACATTCCAACACAACAGCAACAATATCCTCGACCAGGATTTACAGGACAACCATCTCCCAGCATTGTTTCTAACAACCAGCAGCTGCCTTCTCAGACTTCAGCGAATTTTGTCTCAACCTCGGTCCAAGGGACCTCTTCCTCATCACACCATCGCCAAAGACCTCCATACTCACAACCAGGACCTTATCCTGGAAATAATCAGCCAAATAACCAGGAAAGACCTTCCTATACCGCCCAAGCACCCAACAATTCAGGCCAAAGGCCAACAAATGGTTACCAGTACCAACCAAATTTCTCCAGGGCAGAGGAAGCTAGTCAGAGTTCCCAGAGCCTAGAGACTCAGACACAGACCCAGGGTGGACAAAATGGATATCAGGGCAATTTTCAGCAAAATTTGCCAAAAACTAGCCAATCCCCTCAACAAACCAAGGAATCTCAGGAGAACTTTGGCAGACAACCCAAATCCAATTTTGAAGGCTACGCCAATCAGAAACCTGTTCAGGAATCAAATTTCTATCCCAACAGACCTGAAGGATATCCCCAACCGAATTCTCCTCCTGGCCAGGGAAATTCATTTCCAGTCCGAGAAAATTCAAGGGCTCCAGATGCCAATCCCAGTTTTCCTTTAGCCTCGCAGCAACAAAACTACCAAAGACCCCATCAGGAAAATGCTGTTCCAAGTGGAGCAAATTTAGGCACTCCAAATGGTAATCAGGATATCCTGCCAGGCAGTCAAGAAGTTGGGCAAAAAACCTACCTTCGGCCTGGTCAAGAAAATGGAAAAGTTCCGGAACAACCAGGAAGTCAGCAAAATTCCCACGATTCTCAACAAAAATTTGAAGGTCAAAGCCAGCAAGGTCCTGTACAACCTACCGTAGCTCAAAATAATGGATATCCCATAGAAAATGGTCAGAATATCTATCCAACTCAGGGATATGCCTATCAATCCCAAGCAGAATCTACAGGCCCTAGGCCAGTACAAAACAATGGCTATGCAGGATCCAAGGACGGCAATGTCCAAGGACATTATCCCCAAAATGCCTATCAATCCCAAGAGATGCCTACAAATTCTGCATCAGGCCAAAATAATGGCTATTCAGGACAAAAACTTCACAAGGATGCAGGATATTCATATCAAGGTCAACAGGATTCTAGGCAAAATGAACAATCCTCCAAAGACTCCGCTCTGCAAACAAATAGGCCACAAGAAGCCAATACTTTCCCTTTGAGCCAAGGATCTGATGCAGCAACTTACCCAGGATCTGGCCAACAGAATCCTTCCCAAATGACCCAAAATTCCGAAGGATCGTACCAAAATAATTCTCAAAATCCTCAACAGGAACGTGGATACCCCAAGGATATAAGACCAAATCCAGAGCTAAGCTATCAACCCCAAGAGGCGACTGTAATTCCAAATGGAAGCCAAGGTACTGGACAACCTCAGCACCAATTGATGGAACAAATTTCCCAGCAGAACCAGGGTTACCCTCAAGCCATGAGACCAAGTCCCCAGATAGCTTATGAACCCCAGATGGGGACTACAAATCCAAGTGGCAACCAAAATAATGGACAACCCCCGATGAACTTCCCTCCACAGGGATATCCTCCAGCAGTGAGACCAAATTCCGAAATAACCTATCAATCTCAGCAGGGGAAGCCTGAAACGAATGGAAATCAAAATATTGGAGGACCTCAGCAATATGATACTGAAATTACCCAGCAATCCTCTTCTGGCGCCCAACGGCAGATTGGTTCCCTTGAAGTTAACAACTTCCCCCAAAAATCTTCAGAGGTACCGAAACCTTCCCGGCAATACCTACCACCATTTTCAGATAACGAATACCAAACTCCCAGCCCTGTAACCTTAGAAATCTCCACACAAAATCAGGGCTCTCTTGCCACTGAGGCTCCCCAAACTCTTCCACAAGACCAAGGCCTTTACTCTCAGCATCAAAGCCAAAGTGAAGCTCCACAAGGCAGCCTAGTCCAAGAGCCCACCACAACAACACCAAATCCCCCCGAGACCACCCTTGCCACATATCATGGCCCCAGCCATCAGTATTTACCCTCTCCAGCTCCAAAGGTCAATAATACTGCCATACAGCCCTTCTACAATACCCAACCCTGGAATCCCATACCATCGAACAACAATCGTATGCCCAAAATGGAATCTCTTAGCCTTCCCCAGGGCTATCGTTATAACACCCCCTCCATGAAACAAACCGCCGAGCATGTTCAAACCCACAATGGTGTGGTTTATAATGAGCTTGGAATGGGTATGACCACCCCCAACCCTGCTGTGGAAAAAGCAACGAATTCGACCAAAGAAGTTATGGGAAAAACGGAAATTGAAACGCAGGAAGGTTATACCTATGGAAGACCAGCGACCGAATTAAAGGACCCCAATGGTATCACACAATTGAGGCCTGTGGATACCATGCCTCCATCCTATGTTTATTACAACAAACAACAGCAACAACATAGGCAAAATGGCACCCAGGAAAATACCGGAATCTCAGGCCACAAAAATGAGGAAAATTCCATGACCTCACATCAAGCTAACCCCAATCCTTCAAGGCCCTCAGACGAGGACCGGAAGTTTCTCGATTCTAATGGAAATTTACCAGAAGGTTCAGGATCTCCTTCAGCTACTGGAGGACCTCTAATGCCTGAAAATATGCCACAGGAGGAAAAAAGGCAACATGGAAGTCCTCAGGTGGCCCAACATAGCTTGGCCCCCATTGTTCCAATGGAAGGTGGCATGACACTCCAGGACTCCAATGTGGCAGAAAATCCCGGCCATTACCAAAATTCTGGAGTCTCTGCCAATTCGGAGGCCGAAAATGGTTACCAATATCCCTATAAGCAGGTCTCAGCTCTTAGCCAAGTTAATAGGAATCCCCAGGAAGGGCAACAATCTCAGCCTATGGCCCCTGTGAATCGGGACTCTGGAAATTCCGAGGGAGATTCTTCCCAATTTCGACCCTCAAATTATCCTGCCACACAACAAGGCTCCCAGCAATACCATAACGGAATGAGTACCCAATTCCGGGGTTATCCTCCATCTAACTATTCCATGGAAACTCCAAAGGAATCACAAAGTACCCCACAAACTTCTATGGGAACTACACAGCTCCCAGCCGGGACAGAGGGAAACCAGGAAGGCCAAAATCAACCTCAAACACCCCCTCGCCCTGAAATTAACCAAGGACCCTATATGCAAATTCCTGTACAACAATCCTTCCAGGTTACAGAAACTCAGGCCATGATTCCCATGTTCAGACCCTCACCACAGTTCCAGAGTAATTCCTACAATTATGGAACTCCCGAAGGCAATCAAATGACCCTTCAAATCGCCCAACAAAACCTGGCCAACCAAAACCAGGTTACTGGATCAAACCAAGGACCTTTCCTTCCCTCGCAACAGAATTTCATGGTGCCACAATCTCCAGAAAATCCTGGACAAAATATGCCAACCCTTGTAATGGACTACCCACAAAATCCTGGTCCAATGCAGGGCTATTTTATGCCAGTTCCACAACAAGGTTTCCCAGGAGCTCCACAAAATAATATGATATTCCCACAAATGCCCTATCAAAATCCCCAAATGGCGAACTCAAATATTTCTCCAAATCTCCCAGAAATTTCCGTGCTACAAACCACCACTCCCAACACAATTATGAGCTTCTTTGGCACCCCCAATCCTGAGGCCATTTCATCATCAAATCCCCAACCCGATTCCACGACTAATCCCGCCAATAGACCCATGACCTTTGAGGAAACCAAAACCTATATGCAAATGCCATCCCATTCCTTTGAATTGCCCTCCTCTTATGTCATGGTTCCAGGGAATGCTGAACAACATTTAATGCCAGAGCCACGAATACCAAATCAAACACCCGCCATAACATCCGAGGCTGAAGAGATCACACAACATCCCATGGTTCCAGTGGAAACTTTAATGGTAACACAGGAACCCATTAGGCAGCCTCATCTTGTCTATGGCTCACCAGATCAGCCAGGCACCACAACTGTATCTTCCGAACCAAAACCCCAACAACCGTCAGAAAATGAGAGAAATTCTCAAGTGATGTTCCTCCAAAATCCCCTTGGTTATGCTGCTCCTGAGCAGGCCATACCTCCTGTGACCCCCGGCACGGTTTCTCAAGACCCTGGTGTTACAACCCCAGAGTCAGTTGTGGCTGAAGGAAATTCTCAAAATTTCATGCCTCAGCAGCCCATGCGCCAACCCCATCTCATCTATGGCCCCCCTGTCTATGAACCCTCAAAACACTACTTGCCATCGCCCTATCTGAAAAAGTAACCGACTTACCTCTCATTTAGTTCTTAAGTTCCATTCCGGCTCATTTTGTAATTTTTGTTGTATTTATTCAGATCATATTTTTTTGTACGGAAAATAAATAAAAAAACGTTTTGAAAAATGTAGAACATTTTTTCATTGAACTCAGATTTGATGAGGATCTGATTCACAAATTTCCCAGGACCTGGCCGGCCGATTTCTATCCCAAATAGCCGAAAAATCAGGAGATATATAAATCAGGAGATATAAGCTACCCACAATGTTCAGCAGAAACATGGATGTCCACCGGCTATAAAGCAAAAACCAGGAACTAACTTATCCATCCCTGGAAGTTAATGCGAATTCAAATTGATGCCAAGGTACTGGACAACCTCAAGACCAATTAAGCGGAGTAAATTCCCAAGAGAATCATGGTTACCCCAAGCCATGAGCTTATAAACCCCAGATGGACACTAAAAATCCAAGTGGAAGCCAAAATAATGGACAACCCCTCATGAACTTCTCTCCACAAGGATATCATCTAGCGATGAGGCCAAATCTTAAGATATCCTACCAACCTCAACAGGGAAAGTTTGAAACCAATGAAAATCTAAATATTGATCGAACTCAATTCTCCCAGCAATATGGTGCTGAATTTATCCAGTAGTCCTTTTCTGGCGCCCAACGGTAAATTGGTTCCCCTGCCATCAATGGAGTAATCAATTTGCCTGCACCGAAAATTGCAGCGGCTCGTACCAAAATAATGGAAATCAGGAAAAGTGTAGGCCAATGTACTGGAAAGCCCTAAAGACCAATTGATCGGACCAAATTTTCAGCAGAAACATGGTTATCCCCAAGCTATGAGGGCAAGTTCCCAGATAACTTATCAACCCCAGGTGGTGACTACAAATCCAAGTGGAAGCCATAATAATGGAAAACCCCTCATGATCATCTCTCCACAGTGTCCACAGGCCAAATTCTGAGATATCCTATCAACCTCAACAGGAAAAGCCTGAAACAAATTGAAATCAATATATTACGGAAATTCAGTTCTCCCACCTGAAATTCCCTTCTGGCGCCCTAAGGCAATTTGGTTCCTCTGACACCAATAAAGTTAATAATTTACCCCCAAAATCTTCAGAAACCCGCAAATCTGTCCGGCAATACTTGTCACCAGTTTCAGATAACGAATATCATATTCCCAGGCCTGAGATCTCAGAAATGTTGATAAAAATCAGGGTTCTCTTGCAGCTGAATCTACCAAAACATCACCGCAAGACCAAGGCCTTCACTTTCAGCATAAATTCTAAAATCCGCCACTTCAAGGCAGACCAAGAGACCCCCCCCCCCAACAACCTCACTATATTCCCCCTGAAACCACACAATTCCTCTCATTTCAACTCAAATCCTCCGACAATAAGGTACTGAAATTACCAAAAAATTTTCTTCTGGCGCCCAACAGCAGATGGGTTCAGTTTACATCAAAAAGTTAACAAATTACCCTTAAAATCTCCAGAAAATCCCTAAAATTTGCTAACAATACCTACCCGCATTTTCAAGGAAGGAATATCATACTCCCAGGCCTGAGATCTAAAAAAAGTCGAAACAAAATCAGAACTCTCTTGCCACTGAACCTCCACAAACATCCCCAGAGGTCTTTTGTTAATGATTCTCACGAAACATCCCCGCAAGACCAAGGCCTCTAACTTCAAATACGACATAAACTCTAAAATCCGACACTCCAAGCTTGCCCAAGAGCCCTCCACAACAATACCAATTCTCACTAAAAACCACAATTTCCACCTACCGTGGACCCAGTAATCATTATTTACAATCCCTAGCTCCAAAGCTCAATGAAACTGCCATACAGCCCTTCTACAATACCCGAAGCTAGCATTTCACACAAGTCAAAAAGAATGGAATACTCAGAACGGAATCTCTCAGCCTTCCCCAGGGCTATCGTTATAACACTCCTGAAATATCCTGTCAACCTGTAGTGAAATTACCAAACAATCCCCTTCTGGCGCCTAACAGAAAATTGATCCCGTAAAATCTCCAGAAGATTCAAAAAATGTCGATACAAAATCAGGGCTCTCTTGCCACTGAACTCCCCCAAAACCAAGGTCTCTACTTTCAGTATCAACCTCAAAACACGCCACTCCAAGGCAGCCCAGATTAAGAGCTTACCACAACCAGACCAATTCCGCCCTGAAAACACAATTTCCACTAATTTCAACTCTATTCTCACATAAAAATGGTACTGAAAATACCAAAGAACCCTCTTCTGGCGCTCAACAGCAAATTGAAGTAAACGATTACCACCCCCTCCTCCCAAATCTTTAGAACTTCCCAAACCTGTTCCCAGGCCTAAGATCTCAAAAACCAGGGCTCTCTCTTGACAAAATATCACCGAAAGACCAAGTCCCCTTCTCTCAACATCAATGCCAAAATCGGCAACACCAAGGCAGCCTAGTTCAAGAGCCGCCACCTATCATGAACCCAGTCATCTCCTGCTCCAAAAGTCAATGAAACTGCCTGATATTTCCTATCAAGCTGTACTAAAACTTCCAAACAATCCTCTTTTGGCGCCCAACAGCAAACTGAAGTTAACAATTTTCCCCCCAAAATTGACAAAAATTCCCAAACCTTCTCGCCAATACCTATCTCAATTTTCAGATATGGAATACCTGAGATCTCAGAAATATCGATACAAATCTCTCCAGACACCCAATTCCCGATTCTCTTCTGGCGCCCAACAGCAAATTCACCCCCAAAATCGTCAGAAATTCCCAAACCCTCTCGGCAATGCCAGCCACCATTTTCAGATATCAAATACCTGAGATCTCAAAAAAAAAAAATGGATACAAATCCCCAAACATCCCAATGTTCTTTTGGCGCCCAACATCAAATTTAATTTACAATTTTCACTTGCCACCATTTTCAGCTTAAGAATGGCACACTCCCAAGCCTGAGATCTCAGAAATGTTGATACAAAATGAGTGCTCTCTTGCCACTAAATCTCCCCAAAACTCCCCACAAAACCAAGGTCTCTACTTTTGCCATCAACCTTAAAATACGCCACTGCTACAAACTCGTGGGCATGTTTACACCCTGAGAACTTAGCTATGATTTTTTTTATAGGAAAATCAATAACAGCCAAAATTTTCTTTAGAAAATTTAACCTCAGCAGATTTGCTAACAGATCAGGATTTCCTAGGACAGTATGGCTAAGATCACCGTGTCATATGGCCAAGGTATTATTTTTTTGCGGTCTGATATCCCATATTTTCTTACAGAAATAAAGCGTAGCCGAACTGGGAGCCATAAAAACACACGGAAAGACTTTTGTCCTCTTAACAAATTTAGTACCACAAATAATAATAGAAGAAAATTGGAAAATACCTCCCGTTTATGTATCTCATTTTTATACCCTCCACCATAGTATGGAGGGTATATTAAGTTTGTCATTCCGTTTGTAACACCTCGAAATATATATTTTAGACCCCATAAAGTATATATATTCTTGATCAGAATAAAATTCTATGTCGATTTAGCAATGTCCGTCCGTCTGTGGAAATCACTCTGTGGAAGGCCCCACATAACGGTACCACCCGATATGCGTTATTTTGATGTCTTTAGCGACATTATTTACCGGAATTGTTTCAAATTTGGTATTTGAAGTTCGTAATAGATACTACAGTATAGGACAGAAAATGGGCCATGTAGGTCCACGTCTTCGTATAGCCCCCATATAACGGTACCTCCCTATATTCGGTATTTTGATGATTATAGTGTCATTATTCAGCGGAATTGTTTTAAATTTGGTTTTTGAAGTTCGTAATAGATACTACAGCCTAAGACAGAAAACTGTCTATGCTGGTCTAGGTCTTCGTATAGCCCCCATATAACGGTACCTCCCGATATTCGGTATTTTGATGATTTTAGCGACACTACTAACCGGAATTGTTTCAAATTTCGCATTTAAAGTTCGTAATGGATACTACAGCCTATGACAGAAAATTGTCTATGCTGGTCCAGGTCTTCGCACGGCTCCGATATTCGGTACTTTTAAAAATTTAAAAGAATTTTTTAAGGATTTTATTTTTTGAAAATTTCCCAAATTCGTTCCAAATGGTGGAGGGTATATAAAGTTCGGCCTGGCCGAACTTACAGATTTTTTACTTGCTTTTAAGATGGAAGTTAACCAATTTCGAAAATAAAATGTTAACACAATTTTGTGTAATTTTTAGTTTTCAATTTTATTATTAACCTATAAATTTATTTTCGAACAAAATTCAATCAAAATAAATGCTCCCCCCGCCCTCCGCCAAATTGCCAACAAAACGTGATTCATTCCCTTTTTTTTTTGGCTGTGAAGTGAACAGCAGCAAAGCTCCGCACTAGAGAGAGAAAAGGCAATGAAAGCGAATGTTGTTGTCGAAGATTGTTTGTTGTTAGATATTGGGCGTTTAAGCTGTGATGTAATCAAATCTTAGGCAGATCATTTTCAGTAAAGAAATGGAGGAAAAAAAAAATAAAAAAATAAAGAGAGAAAAAAAAACATTAAATAACACAAGCCTACTTTTTCACAATTAATAGCTTGTGTGTGTGTGTGTGGGGAGAGGATAAGTCTGTGTGTGTGTGTGGAGGGCAGATAAGTCTACATTAGGTCTGGAGTTGTGCGGCATTTAACATATCAATTTCAATTCCGCCGGAAGTTTTATAGGGATACTCATATTACCTCCCATGATAATAGGAAGTTGAAGCTTCTCCATTGCCTTCCTCGGGGAAATCTGCATTTTCCTATAAAAACTCCAAAAGGGGCAAAGAAAATGCATCAGTTTTCCATTCATCTTCAAGCATTTCACCAGAGACAACAGCATCTTCTTTGAAACATTAAAATGCATTACTTGTCATTGGATTTTGTTCGGTTATTGCTCTGTTTTATTGCCACCAGCCATGCCCTTAAGCTGTCCTGTAATCATGGCAAACGAGAATTAAAATTTGGCAGTTATCCTGGATTC